TTCCTGGGGAGCTTTGAGCTGCCGGCCGGGGAGGCCTGCGTGGCCGCGGGCAAGGTGGGTGAGGTGGTACGCTCCTTCGGCATCCCCGCCATGAAGATCACCTGGCTGAGTGCCAGCAGCAGCCTGGGCGCCGCGCTGACCTCCCTCTGCCCACTGCTGATGGAGATGCACTGCTTGTCCCACGGCAGCGCCCCGCTGCCACCTGGGAGCCTCGGCGGTGTCGAGTACCTCCAGGAGTACGAGACCACCGTGGACGCCATCTACAGGCTCTACTCCAGTGGCAGGGGGGAAAGCGAGGGCCTGCGGGAGCTGCGGTGTGTCCTGGATCTCTGCAAGATCGACCTTGGCAGCCCCAGAGCCATCCACTGGACTTCGATCTTCCCAGCCGTGGAAGCCATCGATTCCTCATGGCCCACGCTGGTGCTGCTGCTGGAGAGCGAGGCGGCACGGTCGCCTGTGGCCCATGGCCTCTGCAAAGAGCTCAAGACGTTCCAGTTCGTGGCCTTTACCAAGATCCTCCTGGACGTCCTCCCCATCTTCCAGAAACTCAGCCGCTTCTTCCAGATCGAGGACTTCGACCTCTCCATCCTGAAGCCCATCGTCTCCGCCACCGCCACCAGCCTGCAGACCCAGAAGAGCGCCAGCGGCCAGAACCTCCAGGAGTTCCTCGCGGAGATGAAGGAGCACCCACGGGGCCGGGAGGGCGAGGGCCATCTCTACTACAAGGGCGTGGAGTTGGCCAACTGCTCCGAGGCGCACCTGAAGCACTTTGAGCGCCTGAAGGACAGCTACCTGGAGAGCGTGCAGGGCAGCCTGCTGGACAGGTTCCCCAGCAGCGCCCTGGAGGCCGTCAGCTCCTTCTCGGCCATCTTCAACCCCAAGTGCTACCCCCAGTCTCTGGAGGACATCGGCAGCTACGGGGTCGGCGAGCTGAACTTCCTCCTGCAGGCCTATTCCCGTGTGGTGGTGAGCGAGCGGGCCCTGAGCGATTTTCCCCTCTTCAAGCGCATCGTCTTCAGCCTCGGCCAGCTCTCCTTCAAGGACCTGTGTGCCAAGCTGGTCTGCAGCCCCTCCGAGATGCACGAGCTCTTCCCGGACTTTGCCATCCTGGCGGCCATCGCCCTGGCCTTGCCGCTGGGCTCGGTCCTCGCTGAGAAGATCAGCCGGGGCCGGGAGCTGCTGAGGCATGGCCGGTCGCGCCGTGCCAAGGACGAGGGCCTGTCTGACCTGATGAAGATCGCCATCGACGGGCCGGCCGTTAGCGAGTTTGACTTTGCCTTGGCCATCGAGCACTATGAGAGCATGAGGGAGTCCAGTTTCCTCGGGGTGCAGGTGACGTGAGCGGTGGCTGGTGAAGGCAAAGCCCTGCGGGCAGGA